AGCTAGAGGTATTTTACTATACCTGCTGTGTGTTATCGCAGCAGATAGGGAGGAGTGGACAGCAGGAAAGGATGCTGAGCAGGTATATTAATGAAGAAGTTACTGTGACAAACAGGCCCTGATCTGGACCAAGTCTGGGGATGGGTGTCTCCCACATTTTTATGCTAGGATAACTTACAGTGTCTTGGACCTTGCACACAGCTGTGGGGTAAAAATAGCTATGAGAACAACCCATACATATGGGCCAAAAGGCTCAGGACATTTAGGCAACACTCTTGAGCACACACCAAGATCAAATAGCCCAGATGAGCTTCTTGTTTCTTGACCTCCAGCCCCAGACACATTCCTCACACCCAGCACCACTCAGTGAACAGATCTATTTGCTTAAATACTAATGTGTTCCACTTCTTCAAACAGAAACTCTAAATTAGTCAAGTTTTAATGAATGAGGCTTGACTGTGAACAAAATGAAAATGTAAGCAAAGGAGCCCAGTTCGGGAGCACCTATCTGATGTTTTTCAGAGTCATGGTGGCCAGTGTTTTACTCGCACCTTCCAGTACCTACAGTAAGAGACACACAGCTCAGCTCTCCTAGTGAACTGTGGACTCATTTCTTTCTTCAGGGAAGGAAGAGCTTAACAGCAGTGTCAGCTGGTCCCTGAGATCAGCAGAGCTGCCAATCTCCCATGATCCCTGGCACCACCCTTCTGATGAGGCTGTCTGCAGTCGGTGCAGAAGACAGTGCACAGGGCTGGAGTTCAGGGCCCCTGTGGCAAGGTGGGTAAAACTTGTGACATAGCAGTGGGGCTCTCTCCTCTGCCAGTGGGGGCATCTACTGTAGTAAAGACTCTCATTCTGGGTACTACTGGACAAAGGTGTGTGGTGTGAATGAATGGTAGAACAACAGTGACTCTGAGGACCCCACTTATCAGCAGTTGCAATCAACCTGAAGCACTGAGCATGAAAGTCATCCCCCAATCCTGAGTCCCAGCCCCATTCCATCCCCCTCTTCACTCCTCTCTACCATCAAGTCCTAAAGCTGACTTCAAACACAATTTCACATTTCTTCACCATCACTGCAGTAAGAGCAAACACACAGAAAATTGATGAGTGAAGGATAAGAACACAATAACAATTTCACAGGTTATTATTCTATAAGAGAGAGGTTCTGAACTGGCTGCCAAGAAATCTGTGAGCCTCACACCAGGCTGACTACCCTGGGGGGACGGGGGCTCCGGACATGGCCCTCCAACCATCCTCCTTGGGAGTGAGGCTGCATCAGAGCCAAATACGTTTTGCCTTCAATGTCACCAATTTCCTGCAAAGAGCCTGGGGTTCATAACTTTTGGGAATAGGACTAACTGATAAACAGCTGTTGTGCAGAATCCCATTTCATTTTATTTTCATCTGGGCGCTGTAGGGTGGAAAGCCAGTAGGTGGGAGCACTGGAAACAGATAGCATTAGCAAGACGAGCCTAGTGCCTGGTAGGATCACTTCTCAGAACACAGAGAACAGCATGGTCACAGTTTTTCTCTAAGGTGGGAAGAAACCAAAGCCTGGGGTGAATGAAAGGCAGTGGCAGCAGCATTGGCTCACCAGTGGAAGCCCAGTTACAGAATCTCCACCTTCCGTGGTAGCTGGGCTCCATGACCCTCACCTCCAGAGTTAGTCCCCTCCCACCCTAAACAGGAATAGCCTGTATAGCCAAGAGGCCACTGCAGAAATGATGGAGTTTGACTTCCAAGGCTCTCATAAAAGTCATTGTAGCTTCTGCCTTTTCCTCTCGTGGATCAGTTGCCAGCTGCCACAACATGAGGACACTCAAGCAGCACTATGGAGATGTTCTTGTGACAAGGACCCAAAGTCTCCTGCTAACAGCCAGCATCACCTTGCCAGCCACATGAGTGAGCTGTCTTGAATCACATCCTCCAGCCCCAGTCAAACCTTCAGATAATCACAGCCCCAGCCAGCATCTTGACGACAACTTCATGAGAGACCCTGAGCCAGAACCACCCAGCTAACCTGCTTTCAAATTCCTGAACCACAGAAACTGTGTGAGATAGTAAGTATTTATCATTTCATGTCACTAGCTTTTGGTGTCATGTATTATGCAGCAAACAGATCATGAATGCACCCTGCCAAGGGTACGTTTATGTCTGTGACTCTGTCTCTGGTGAGAAGCCTTGTCAGTGTATCTTACATGAATAGTCTCCGTTCTAGAATACTGGTACTTCCTGATATCGGTATCCTTTGATATTTCCACTGCTCTTCTTCTATATCATCTTCACTGCTGTGGCAAAGCAAACACACATGTGCCTGTGTACACACACACACACACACACAACATTCTTTTAAACCTGAAAAATCACTGAATCCCTCAAGCACTGGGAATATGAACTTTTTGCAGAAGAACCTGATTCTCTGAATGTTTTAGTACCATTTTTCATTCTGTCTCCGAATGGACAGATGGCGGGGGAGGGGGCAGCTGACTACAGAGATTGACAGATGTCTGTTCTCCTTTCCTAGCAATAAAATTCGGAGCTGAGTGAGCCTCAGCAGGAGAGAAAAGCCCCAGCCATGCATTCCCGCAATTGTTTAAATATTTCAGAATGGAATTTTCGCCCTTTACTGTCATTTCCCCATCCGGTTTATCACCCTGGGAAAGGAGGGGGCTCTTGGGTAAGACAAAAACACAGAAACTCTGTGAGTATAAAAGCCTGTCCAGATATGATAGAGGCAGTCAATTGGTTATGAGAGGAATGTTTCCTCACGGTTTGGATGTTGTGCTATGAAGAACCCAGAAGACATGAGGCTCTAAGTACCTGCAGCTCCCTCCCCTCCAGGATGGGGACCAAGAAGAATGCCGAGAGCCTGAAGGCCTCGCAGCATTCTCCAGGCTAGAATGGGCCCTGAGGGCGGAGGGAGGCAAATGGGTAGAAAGCATTCAGAGCGGGGAATAAAGGAGAGCAGAGAAGGGAAACCAGGCAGACAAAGAACTCCCGATGCCCGTCCAAAGTGGGTCTGTATGGGTTGGAAAATGGCCAGGTGGGAAGCAGTATTTCTCCACCTTCTTATTTAGGTGTTATTTTTCATTTCTGCCAGGGCACTCTACCTATCTGTCCTTCCAAGTGTGGAGTCATAACTGAAGGGTTACCTGTGACATTGCATGTGAAATACTCTCATCAAGTGGCAAGTAGGGTCGTGGAGGTCCTTCTCTAGGGAGACTCAGGACTGATCATGACCACAGTTTGAGGAGACAGTGTTCTCCTGATGTGTCTCAGCAGCATTGAGGTCAGAGACTCAGTCTCATTGTCCCCTGCCCCTGGATCCCCCAGGAACAGGTCCTATCTCTCTGCTCATCTTCATCTATGCACCTTCCCTGATGAGCTCAGCCCTGCCTATGATTTCATCCACCAGCTCTGGTGAATCCCAGGGTTTCCAGCCCCGGTCCATGATCCATCCCTGATTTCAGCTATGCACCGACTTCCTCCTTCTCTTGGTTATCTGACCCTCACCTTACTCTTAACATGTCCAATTTAGAATTCAACTCCACAAAGACTTCTTTTCTCCACGATCTTATTCCTGTCAATAAAAGCCAGCTGGGAAGCTTTGAGTCATCTCGATTCTTCGCTTTCCTCAGGAACATAAATCCACCCTGCCAGTGGTCCTGAGGTCTCATTCTTTAAACTGAACCTCAGTTATGGTCCAAGACTTTCCTATGCTCATTATCTCTGCCCTTTTCATACTCTTCATCATTGCAGGCCTGGAAAGCTCACTTTTCTTACTTTGCTCACTTAATTCCTCCCATGTTTCAAGGTTTAAAACAAGAGTCCCAATTTCCTGAAGCTTTATCTGACCTCTCAAGACCAATTTTGTCTCCTTTATTGAATTTCTATTTGTTCTATTCAAGACAATTGTTACTGACAGCCTGCTGTGTGCAACATGCCAGGTGCCAGGGCACTGCAACAATGAAGCCCCTGGCCTCAAGGAGATTCCAGTCTAGTAATCACCACACCAATTAATTGCTTCTTTGTTTTCTCTGTCTTAATTGTGTTTCCCCAACCACATTCTTAAATAACCAGGCCTGTGTCTTAAATGTCTTTTGTAAAACCCACAATGACTGTTAGACTACAGAATACATAACATGTTCTTACTACTTGTTAGTTATATACAAAATGGGCAACAGAATCAGACTAGAGATACAAGTCAACTGCAATCCTTTTCTAGGTTACAGAAACATCTTTGGTTAACGAAAAAACACATCAAGAAATTGAAGAAACTACGCCATGTTTGAGTGGTGTTTTACACACCAAACCAATAATTTAATTTAACTTGTCAAATTATTTGACTCAAATTTTTAATATAATGATTGATAACCCATTTCCCAAATTGCATAATCATGAAATAATAGTCACATTATAAGATTAAAGAATTAACATAAAAATGATTTATAGCACTTTAATAATTCAAAGGTAGATATTTGGAATTTCCTAAGAGGTTTTACAAGACAGAAATAGGAGCAAATTGAGAAGCATCAAGCACAAATTCTCAGATAAAATCATCTGTCTTATTAAGAGTATTGATAGGATCCAAACACACAAGACAACCATGACATCCTCTCAGCAGGGGTCTCCTCGAACCAGAAACAGAACTGGGATCAGTTAATACTGATGTGTCCTTTTTTAAGTGTCCCTAAGAAAAAGACTTTTGTAAATCAGAAGTAAAGGAATCTCATTTCTCCAAAATGTAAAACTCTTTTTGATATAAGAAAAAAATAGGGAGATATTTTATTCCTCCAAACCTTAAATGAGTATAGTTTTTATTCTTGATTCAGAAAACCGAATATGGACCTCAATGTAGACATCAAAGCATATATATCACTCAAGCCCAGAAGAAATATTCATGTGCCAAACAGAAGCTCAAGAACTCAGAGTTTAAAATTAGTCCCAGACACGTGTTTACTATGAAGCTTAATCTTTAAAAAAAAATGTGTACTCACCTGCCAGAATATGCTATCTATTGTGTTTCCAAGAAAACCATCACGACCTTCTGAAGACACCAGTTTAGGGCCAAGAATTGTCATGAATTCATCAAAATCCACCTGGCCATCCCCTGAAAGGAGAAGATATAAATATGAATAGAAAAATACTTGAAATTGACTTACTATACCCCATGAAATAAACATTTCCAGGTTTTCCTCCTTGGCATGGCCTCAATAAATAAAGAGCTAGTAACATTACTGAAAAGTGCAACATTTTTAAAATACCAAAAGGAACACAAGAAATTATTGCAATTCTTAGTACATCAAGTATCACATATTCCTAATTATTTGTCAGTATTTCTATCTCAATGCCCAGCCAGAGCCTTCTCCTTAAATGACCACACATCTCACCTGCTATACATCCTAGACCTCAAATTACCCAGCTATACATGACAGAAATTGTGACTTCATCCTTATCTCTTCCTTTATCTTTGTTGCTCACATATAAATTTAGTCATCAAGTCTTATTGAATTCACCTTTTAGATACCTGTGGCTGCTCTATTTTCCTTGTTAAAGGCTGGTGGGAAAATGATTCCAAGAACCCGTGTTCCTAGTTATAATTACAATGTTACTAGTAGAGTGGCTTTCTGCCCTCACACTGTCACCTCCACACCATCTTCCAGACAGTTCTGAGTTTATTTCCCCCCAAAGCATATATGATCATGTTTTATAAATCAATGGTATCTTGAAAAATTAGGAAACCACCTTAGGACAGCATTCAAGTCCCATTATGCCTTTTCCCACCTTTTGCTCCCAGCCTCTGCACAAAATGCCATGCTCTTTGAGAGCTCCGTTTCTCTGCACATCCAGGATGCCTTCCAGGATGACTTGTCTAACTGGTCACCACCATCTTGCCCTCTAAGATGGACCTTAAATATCATGTTCTCTTTTTGTTTTCTTCCTGTCCTTCCTCATCTCACTAGACAGAGTGGCCAAACTTTTTTCCATCTCTCCTACTAATTTAATGTGCATCCACTATAGAACTTATCACCCTGTATCTTAGTCACTGATTTGCATGCTTATTTTCCACCTGGGCTTGGAGCTCGGCAAGGTCAGGGACCTACTCTGAAACTTCTTTGTATATTCATCACCATGGTGGGCTCTCGCTATGTACTTATAGAATGAACGAATGCTGTTTCTTGCTTGTTTTTTCTTTGTTCATGTCAGCATCCACTGGATCTTTCATGCCAGGGCTGACGCTGACCAAAAGGTGGATCTGATCCAATTCAGACAAAAGCAGACCTTCAAGGTATTGTCCAAGCCTCAGTGACTCATTTGTGTGGCATCCTCCACCCTTAGGACTGCTCCAGAGGAGTCTCCACCAAGAGCTCACCACATCTTGGCCCCAGCCAGTAAAGACGGCCCAGATGTCCATGCACATGTTCGCCAAAGTGCAGACACCTCAATCCACTCCCAGAGTGCAATTGCCTTTAAAGATCCCTCGTTCAAAACCTATTTCAAAAAGCCAAGCAGATGTCATCATAAAGATGTCAATAATTCAGATAAAACTTCCTAGAGGATAAAGGAGGCATGAAAATTCAGTGGGAAAGGAAAGATTTAGCCACCAAATAGTGTGGGGCAGTCAGGGGACTACTGAGGGAAATTAATTTATCTCTCACCATTCGACAAAATAAAAGGATCTAGTATTTCACCCTCACTAGTTACCATAAGAAGGTTAATTTAAGCAACAGATGAATTATTATCTTGCCTGTCAAATTAGCGAATATTTCTAAAAAGAATACTGCCCAATGCTGGCAGATATCCAGAAAGGAGACAGGCTGTCTTCTGCATTCTGCTCATCTGGATATTGACTGGCGGTATTTCAGATGCTGTAACATACTTGTTCTTCTTGACATAATAACTTCCTTTTTAAGAAAAAGACAAAGCAAAGAGATGATCTTAAATTCAGACCAAGATGTTTGCCTTAAGATAGTCATCCAGTATTTGTGAAAATGGAAAATTGGAAGCTGGAGAAAGAGAATGGCTCAGTCTTCCTGGAATTCACACTGAGCTGGCTCCGTGTGGCTCCAAGTCTCAGACAAGCACACTCATTACACACACGCACTAACCCTCTGTGTGTGTGTGTGTTACATGCCACTGCGTTGGCTCGAACTCCTGAAGACTCTATGAATGAGCGATGTACACAGGGTCCTGTCCTCAACATCCTTACTCAGCTCCTGTAGACTCACACCCACAGCTTCTTTTATGGAGTCAATTTTTCTTGTACCGGGTCTTCTTCTTTTCCTGCTTGTCCCAAATTACCCCTGCTAGTTATAGCTGGGGCCGGAGGGCCAACAAGTCTCAGACTAAAATATGCATTCTCAGTAGAGATGGGATAACCCTCAATGAAGTGAAAAGTGATTCTTAGGGGACAAAAACAATCTTAGATATTATAATGGTTTGTGTCCCTCCTGGGGCTACAGTACATAAACAGATACACAGCATATCTGTGCTATTAAAACTTCATTAGGGTGGGTAACTAGGGAAACAAATGTCTTAAAAGGCTCCTGGGGGTAGGGTGGCTATCAAAAAAAAAAAGAAGAAGAAGAAGAAGAGGAAGAAGGTTGAGAAACAATGGATGGACTAGAAGATGTCCCAAGTACTATGGTTCTCCTTCCCCAGGGCCCCTCTGGAATGTCAGTCTGTTAGCAGTGGGCGTTACCCAACTCTTTCACCATGTTCTCACAGTTCATAAAGGAATAGCAGCTCAAGTGCATGGGTCATTTTTCATGAAGACCCCAAGAGGCCTTAGCTAAAATGTGTTCACCAGACTGGGTCACTCAAGCTCCTGACCATGGTGTAGTGGACAGTGCTGTCTGTCACTGTTTGGGAACTTAACAGGGACATGGGCCCCAGTACATGGCAGGACACCTGCTTCTCAGTGCCAGAGCAACAGGGCTGTCTCTGAACACTCTACCTTCCAGGTAAGAGGGGAAACACCACCCACTTCTCAGAACCTCCCCGGGGTGATGGGTGTGCAGCAGCATGGGACTGGTGCATTTCAAGGGTCCACACAGAACTCTGGTCAAAGTCATCAAGGAATGCTCACAGATGGTGCCTTCACTGAGATCACTCAACTCAAAGCTGACAAGCAGAAACAATGCTTCAGAACTATATCCTGACCTTGGTGAAGGGAGCAGCTCATTCACAACTCAAATTCTTGGCTAGAGGGGAAACGCTGGGGAAAGGCGGCTGCTCAGGATCCTATGGGCAGTGCCAACTGCCCTGCAGAAATACAGGTGGCTCAGCAAAGACTGTGTGTTACTTGGAGGAGAGGTTTAGTTCGTAGGAGGATTTATTCTAGCTATCTAGCAGAACATGGGATCCCATTTGGAACAAGGGATTTCTTATTGGTCAAAACGTGACTCCCCTTCCTTTTTAAACTATCATTGAGCAAAAAGAGATTCCTGCAGGCCCACAGTTGGAGAAATAATCAGAGTGGGGCCCCCTCTCTCTACGTCTCGCAGGGTTTTCTCAGCTCTGGCTCCTGAGTATGTGTGTACACAGCACATTCTCCGCAGACCTTCCATAAATGAAGGCTCCTCAGCTTGACACCAGTTCTACCAGCAGTACATGGTTCTATTCAGATTTAGTCTGAGGAAAAGCTCTCTTCAGCAGATCCTAGTTTAACAAACAGAACTGAGAACACCCAGCTATCAATGCTGGTCCCACAAGACTAGTCCCTGGTGCCCAACCCTTCACTCCATCCATCTCAGGAGATCTGAGATAATTACAATAGACTCTCAAAGAATGATTTTTAACTAAGTCCGTTATATAAAAAACCCAGGCTGAGGCCAGGTCTGGGAAATCTGATGATGATACAAATATCTAACATTTACTGACAACTGACGATGTGCTGGGCATTGTTTAAAGAAATTTCCATACACAGATTCATCTTAGTCTTCCACCAACTCATTTTACAGATGAGAAAACAGAGGCATAGTGAGGTTCAGTAGCTTTCAGATGTGTGTACAAGAAACAGAGCTGGGATTCCAGACCCAGCAACCTGCCTGTGCTTTTGCTGCTTCTCAGGAGGGTCATGGATAAGCTCTGTTTGGAGCCTCTTTTTCCTGATCCATGTCCCTGGCAGGGGGTGATGCAATGGCTGCCTGGTACCTAGAGGCAAGTGGAAATCAAAATTGCTCTCTCTGATCTAGCTGTTGTATCTCAGGTCAACCTCTAGAGGTGTTTCTTAATTGTTTAAAAGAGTAGTAATAGGTAATAGTTTCCCACTGCTGTGTAAGTCAACTAACACTTGCTTTATGGCAGACACTGAACTAGGGATTTTCATTTATTGCCTTGTCTGATTCTGCCTCAACACAATAAACGGGTTCTCCCCTTCCACATTTTACCCAAGAGAAAACTTAGGAAGGAAGATGTTAAATGTAACTCAGTAGATCAAGGTAGATCAAGGCCATGCAGCTAATACGTGCCAGCACAGAGACTCAGCTTGGAACCCTGATATTAATCTCCACATTGCACCCCCCCCCCACCTGTGGGTCAGAGACCTCAAAATAAGTCCTGGCATAGGTTCGTATCTCTTTTTGAAGTTTGAGAATAGAATATGTTTTCCTACCTGGGCATTTAGGAAGGAATTTAGTGGGAAAATGGGAGAGATGGCCTTCAGGGGCTTTAATGCAAAAGACCATTGTCTGAAAGCATTGATTTGTTCCCAAAATTTCCACTTTGCCTGAAGTTGGGGTTGCAGTAATTCTCCTTGGTCGATTCTCAGTGGACACACGTCTCTCACATCCAACCCTCCAGGCATCTGGAACCTGTTCTACCTAAAACAATTGGTCTAATGAGGGAGGCCTGTCCAGGCCTGGCAGGGTGACATCAGACTGCTATTCTGGATTCCCATGCCCCCAAAGAGAAGGGTAGGCATCTTCCCAGAACCACCACCTTTCACAGAATGCAGTAGACGCCGAAAGCAAAAATTCCCTTTGGTTACATCGTTTTACCAATCTTGAACAAGCAAGTAACTGCAGAATGAAGGAATGGAAGTCACTCCTACCAGGCTTCATTCTCCCTCCTCCAGCCTCCCAGCATCACCATCCACTTAGTAGGGAG